GGTTCATTTTTTTTGGGAACTAGAGATCGATATGATCATAATCATGATCGTAAATTATGGAATTGTAGAAATTGTGAAACAGGTCAAAAAATGTACTCAGGACCGCAAAACAACTAATGAAAATAGATCTCTAAATAAAGTAACACAAGTGCTCGCTCCAACTGCTAACAAAGATTACATTTGTCCGAAATGTAACAAATCATACAAACCACAAGGTAGCACCAATCATGTGCGATCTTGCGCGACAGAATGGTGCAAGCAAAATGGAATTCAACTGTACAAACATCTTTGCGCATGAAAAAGCTGTGTCTCAATCACTATGTGCGCAATGATGAGTACTACTCAAACCAATCTCGCAAGGCTTGGAGGTAGGATTCGGATGAACGGCTATGGTGAAGAAACACTGCGACGATCGAAAAAGACACTTATCAAATGAACTTCAAACATTACGTATATATAATTTTATATATAATCGTTTTTTTTTTCTTTTTTTTCTTTCTTTTTAATTTCTTATATGTATTGTATTGTATTTTGATGTTCACCCAGCACCGAAAGGTAAGGGTCTAATAAACTAAACTAAAAAAAATCATGAAACCTCTATTGATTATGTATTAGTGGGACTTGTTATTAATACTGATGGCATACAAAAACATAATGACTCCTATCATCAAAATTCTTCGTTATTTAACTAGCAAAATACAGATGAAGAATAAATTGAATTATATTTCTCACAAACTGAAAAATTCTAAATGCATTATTCTTGATGAAAATTCATTTACGACCGTCAACAGATTGAATTTTATGATTCTCGTACTATTTGGTTCTTGCTATTAATCGTACTTCATCCACTATGAAGAATGTATCTGATTTAATTTTACTTAGATTTTAAAACAAGAATATAAATTAATTCTTAATACGATATTACTCCTGGCACAAGAGATAGTACATAGTAATTATTTATATACTTACAACAATTGTATCTTCAATATAAATATTAACTGGTAGAAAAAATACTTGTAATCTTGTTTCATCTAGATCAGTTGTCATTTCAAAGCAAAGTCGTTCACAAAAAGCTATTGGACATGGTTCATCATCAGTATGCTATAAACACAACAAAAAAAAAATTCTTGTATAAAAAAAAAACAAAACTAAAATATAATTTACATGAATAAGATGACCAGTTATATTATGAAGTGCAACACGTACAGTAGCCATTAATGGTCGAAAATATCTTGGATCAAATGGATATGTTTCATCAATAATATCAACTAATGGATCATCATGTACAATAATTTTCTTTTCACGTATTAATTCTGGTTCATGAATATCATGAAACACTTGATCCCAACCAAATATATTTTCCTTTTTTTTTTTTTTTT